CTAATTTGCCAGTTTTTGTTTTTCATTACAATGATAAGAAAACTTTGTCTGCCATCTGTTTACCAACTTCAGTCATTTGTTTTTCCTGTAAATCATTCTCTAACAAATAAAGTTACCAAAGAGACCCATATATATTGATAGATGAGTTACATTTGGAGTTAGGAATATGCTATAGTGATGGCAACCGACATGCAACTCTAAAATTGTGTAGATATTTTCTCAAGTGACTGATCCACTAAATTTTCATTCACCTCCAAAAAGCTTATCTTTGGTCACAAACACCATAGAATAAGCCCCCTCCAGCTGCTCACAAGCATCAACAATTCTCAAAAGAAAAGGTCTATGCTTTGAAATAGCAATAAGGTGAAGAACAACCTCTGTATCAGAGCTGGTGTTGAAAATGGACTAATCTGAAGCCCTATAGCATACACATTTTATTTGGTTTTCTGGACTTGAACATTTTTCATGTGTCTGAGGAGGTAAGAAAGCTGTGCTATGAAATTTTATTGTGATGGCAACCTTTTGGTTTATTTTGTAGAGTTGAAAGACAAAGCCTTTGAATAGTAAGTGGTAGTTTGGGGCTGGGATTATTTGAGGCGTATAGTTCAACTTTGGACATTTATGAGACTTTTGGATTATAATTTATATCAGTGGGCCGTTTCACACAGAGCATGCTTTCCAAAATGTGGTCACTGTTTTGGGAACTTTTATTGCTGGAATACATTTACTTGTCAGTTTATTGTAAGATTTCTTTTGACAGTGTGGTTTACTCAATTTTTACTTTAATTATGTGATAGGGTCTATCTCCTGAGCAATTCAAGATTGTGATTCCTAAAATTCCTACATATTTCACGGTATGAAACTTTCCTCTTTAATTTTTATCAGCAAAGTTGTATTCATAGTTCTCCTTAATTTTATCTTTTTGCTAGTTTGAACCATCTATGCACTGTTTAGATTAGATAAACATCTTAGTTGTGGCTAGTTTGGTTTGTTTTGTAATTCGCTTGTATTCCTATTATTTTCTTTTGTGCTTATATAAAATATCTTTGTTGCAATAAGATGTCAAAGAAGAATAGTAACTTCACCACAACTGAAAATGTTGCAAGTGGATCTCGAAAATTGTTAGCATTGTGGAATGCTCAAACTATTGCCATCTTCATTGACCTTTGTATCAAGGAGGTGGATCTAGGCAATCATCCCGGTACTCACTTTAATAAAGTTGAATGGGCAAGGTTGGTTACAAATATTAGTAAAGAGATAGGAAGACCGTATGAAAAATTACAATTGAAAAACAAGTGGGATTTACTAAAAAAAGAATGGAAATTATGGAAAGATCTAAAAGGGAAGGAAACTGGTCTTGGGTGGAATGTTGCTAAGAATACCGTTGATGCATCCGAGGAATGGTGGCAAGATAAAATTAAGGTATTTTATTTTTTTGTTCTTGTTTTTAATATAGTATAGATATCCTTTTTTTTAAAACTATGTTTAAACTATGTTTAAAAATTCATTATAATATTTGTATATGTCATAATGCAGGCAGAACCCAAATATGCAAGATTCCAATTTGAGGGTATTAGTCCTGAGATGGAGGAGAAGTTGAGGGTATTGGTGCTATAGATGGTGTTCATGTGCAAGCTGTAGTATCTCCTTCTAATCAAATACCATTTATTGGTAGAAAAGGGATACCTACCCAAAATGTGATGGCTGCATGCAATTTTGACATGCAATTTATATTTGCATGTGCCGGATGGGAAGGCACGGCCCATGACACAAGGATATTTCTATCAGCTTTACGTGATCAAAGTTTGAATTTTCCTAAACCTCCAAATGGTACTATTTCTATCTAAAGAAAAAAAAAATTCATATAATTTATATTTAAGTTTTTTACATTGTGAATACTTTATTAAATTTTTTTAGGAAAATATTATCTAGTAGATGCGGGATACCCACAGATGAGAGGCTACTTAGGACCATATAAAGGTGAAAGATATCATCTTCCAGATTTTCGTAGGGGTGTTCAACCGATGGGTCATAAAGAGGTATTTAATCATGCACACTCTTCTCTTAGAAGTGTTATTGAACGCACTTTTGGAGTATGGAAAAAGAGATGGAGTATTTTACGAGACATGCCTAGTTATCCTTTTGCAAAACAAGTCAAAATAGTTATTGCAACCATGGCACTTCATAACTATATAAGAAGACATGCCAAACGTGATTTTCATTTTAATGAAAGTGAAGATTACCTAAATGGTACTCAAGATGAAGAGATTGAGAGAGAGGTTGATGCCCAACAAGAAGATGGTCATGTAACACAAGAAATGGAGGCATTGAGAAATCATATAGCCGCAAGTTTAATGAGTTCATCTGCTTAGAAATGTATATGATTGCTTGTTTATGACTTGTTTAATTTTTGTTATGACCATATTATTGAAAATTTTACTTATTTTTAATGGAATACTTTATTTATTTTATAATTAAAATAATTTTTAGGGTGTGATGGAAACATATTTAATACAAAAAAATTATATAAGCTAAAGTGAAAGTGCTTTTTCTTTTACCAAACACTTGAACAGAAAAGTCATTTCAGCATAATGTCCTTTTTAGTCATTATACACAGCTCACAACACTTTTACAAAAAAATTTACCAAACACTCAGAAATTGATTATTGTACAAACAGCACTTATAACAAAAAGTTTACCAAACGCCAAACTGCTTTCTCTCACAGCTGATTTCCCTCACAGCAAATCTGACAGCGATTATTTTCACAGCACAGCAATGCCAAACTGGCCCTTAGTTGTCATTCCGCTTTTAGCTCTTACAGAAGTAGTCTCAAACAAGCTTGACCATTATTGATTGGCTAATTAAAAGTAACTTTGAAATAGTTAGGCCCTGTTTGGTGGGCTTGATTGGACTGGTTAGGATTGGGTTAGGAGTGTTGGATTAGTTTGGCTTGGATCGGGTTGGATTTTAATAAGTTGTTTGGTACAATAAGTTAGGCTAGATTGCACTGGATTAAAGTCCAATTCGTTGTTTGGTACAAGTATGGGCTGGACTGCATTGGACTTCAACAAAAAAAATTTAATGTTCATTAAATTATTTAATATCAGAAATAATTAAATTTAATATATAAAAAAACAAGTGCACAAAATTAAAAATAAGAAATCACATGAAGATACCATAAAAATAGTCCAAAAATTCATAAAAATTCTTCTAAGTGCATTCAAATGATCAACAAATACTTATGTTCCTCTATTTGCCATCCACTCATTAAACATCTTAGTAGCCAAATTATCTCTCCATGTAGACCATTGGTCTGATGCGGCAATGGTATCAATAGTGCCATGATCTACATTGTTCTTAATGAGAGGATCATAATAAATTTCTTGTTTCATTGGATCTATAGACATCTCTCTCCTTATTAAGTTGTGTAAAAGATAATAACCCGTTATTATTAAGCATTGTGTTTGTATTGGATAGAACAATGGACTCCTTAAGATTGCCCAACGCATCTTAAGAAGTCCAAAACAACGTTCCACCACATTTCTTGATGATCCATGCTTCATGTTAAAGTATTCTCGATGGATCAAGACAGAAGACAATGTAAATATTTCTTTTTGGTGATTGGTTAATAAACCATGGTTCTCTTCAAATGTTGGTAGTTACAATGCGAAGAAGTTCTGATTGTATTATGATCAGTATATCTTCTTTTTTTTTGGTCTGATCTGAATGATTAGTATCTCTTAGAACGATGAAAGACACAAATAGTTTTGTTGGATTACAACAAGAACAAAAAAACTCCCGTGCTTGCTAGAGTAGAATTTCAAGGGCTGATGATCAACCTGTGCTGTCTCTCTTGGTTGCTGTACCATTCAAGTACAAGTAGCTCATCTTCTGATAAGAAAAACTCATTGTAGGTACTGACGAAAATCTAGAATATTGCCCACCTATCTTCGCTTTGCATATGTCGTTGATGTAGTTTAGAAGCTCGTTTTTCTAGACAAATGGTTAGGCTGCATATTCCTCAAATGTCATCCATTGCAAGCCATTGCAAACAAGCGTGTCAATATAGAATAAACTTCAAGAGCTTTACACATGGGTTGGATCTTTTCTATCTTCAAAAACTTTTACTTTTTTCTTCTACTCCATTTCTAAATTAGTTAAATATCTGAGAAATTAATCAACTCATCTTTCATGCTTCTTTAAAGGGTACTCTCTTTCATCCAGGAGCAGCAAGAAAGACACCAACACTTTGGTACTTGTGATTGCATTAGACCTTCCCTATTAAGACATTTAAGAATGTGGCAGTTTCAAACAGTGCTGTTATAGAGGTGGATGCATCCCCGAAGTTGATGATGCTTACGCGGCAGTTTCAAGGCATATGTAAAACTGTATCTCTCTTTTCAGCCACGACGAAGACAATGATAAATGGTCCTTCTTTCAAAATTCTCAACCATTGTTGGATGGAACTCTGCTATAAGAGAATCTGTGAACCAAAGCCATCCCCACAAAGCCCTCCTTCTCTTTTTCCAAATGAAACAAAATGGTTTGGAACCTAACAATTTCACCTTTCCCTTCTTGGCTAAAGCATGTGCCAAGCTCTCCAACCTCAAATTCTCCCAAATTATTCACACCAATGTTTTAAAATCACCATTTCGGTCAGATATCTTTGTGCAAACAGCAACGCTGGATATGTATGTCAAGTGTGATCAGTTGGCTGATGCCTACATTCTGTTTGAGAGAATTCCCATGAGAGACGTGGCTTGCTGGAATGTGATGCTTATGGGTTTTGCGCAATTGGGATTTCTTGATAAAGTGTTACGTTTGTTCCATGAGATGAGGTTTGCACGAATTCTGCCTGATACCATCACGGTTATGGGGTTGACTCAGGCAAGTTTAGAGACAAAGAATTTGGCACTGGTGAAAGCCATTCATGCATTCGGAATTCAGATTGGGATAGATGGAGATGTTTCAATGGCTAACACTTGGATATCTGCCTATTCCAAATGCGATGACTTAAGTTCTGCCATGGCTGTCTTTAATGGGATTGAAATTGGCGCGAGGACTGTTGTCTCATGGAATTCAATGATTGCAGGATATGCAAACTTAGACAAATTTATTGATGCTCTAAATTTTTACAAATGGATGCTCTGTGATGGATATAGGCCTGATATAAGCACAATTGTGAGCCTCCTTTCTTCATGCATTCAACCTGATAAATTGCTACAGGGTGTGCTGACTCATTGTCATGGAATTCAAATGGGCTGTGATTCTGACATTTTTGTTGTCAATGCCCTTATATCAATGTATTCCAGGTGTGGTGATATACTTTCTTCTAGATTTTTATTTGATGGCATGTCAAATAGAACTTGTGTTTCATGGACTGCTATGATCAGCAGGTATGCTGATAAAGGAGATTTGAATGAGGCACTAAGATTGTTTCATGCTATGGAAGCAGTTGGTGAGAAACCTGATTTGGTTACTGTGCTTTCTCTGGTTTCAGGTTGCGGCCAAACAGGAGCACTTGAACTTGGAAAATGGATTCATAACTATGCCTTTTCTAACGGTTTAAGAGACAGCATCGTAGTCTGCAATGCATTAATTGACATGTATGCAAAATGTGGAAATATTAACAGTGCTCGAGAGCTCTTCTATGCCTTGCCAGTGAGAACTGTTGTTTCCTGGACAACTATGATCGCAGGCTTTGCTTTGAATGGCAACTACGAAGAAGCTCTGGACCTTTTCTGCTTGATGGTGGATTTGGACTTAAAACCGAACCACTTAACTTTTCTTGCCATTCTTCAAGCTTGCACTCATGCAGGTCTTCTTGGGAAAGGAATGGAGTTCTTTGACATGATGAAAAAAGTTTACAAGATAAATCCTGGGGTGGACCACTATTCCTGTATGGCGGATCTTCTTGGGCGTAAAGGAAGGTTGGAAGAAGCAACGGAGCTTGTGAAAAGTATGCCGATGAAACCTGATGCTCGCATATGGGGTGCATTACTTAGTGCTTGCAAGATTCACCGTAACGTAGAGATCGGGGAATATGCATGTCGCCGTCTGTTTGAGTTGGAGCCCCAGGGTGCAGCTCCATTTGTGGAGATGGCCAACATATATGCATCAGAGAGAAGGTGGGATGAAGTTGCTGCATTAAGGACAGCTATGAAATTTAAGAAAGTGAAAAAATTTCCAGGACAAAGCCTTCTTCATGTTAATGGGAAACGTCATGTATTTACAGTCGAAGATAGGGGTCATCCTGAAGGCTTGCTTATATATGCAATGTTAGATAGTTTGGCATTGCAGTTGAAAGAAGAACAATACTCGCCACATTCAGACAATTTTGTGAAATGATTAATTTAAATAATTTATATTTGCTCAACATAATAACCAGGATCATGAATGATACTGTGGATATTTCATTTGACCAAAGGCCCCCTATCAATTTTGCATTTTCCAATTCGTTTCCAAAAGTTGAACCTAGCTGTCTGTTTTCCCTTCCGTTACAAAGAACTTACATCTCTTCTGGTTTGCCTTTCTTTTTATTGGTTTCTTGTTGGTAACATGAAGTTTTTCTTTTGGTTTTTTAAAATTATTTTCAGTTTCATATTGGACACCCAATTTGTACCCATTCCTAACTCGTAATGAAAGTTTTTGAAGACCTTAAATTACAAAAAAAAACCCTTAAATAATAAATTTAAAAAATCACTTTTAGTTCATGTGGCTTCAATTTTGGCAAGATGATCCATGTAGTCTGATTTTCATTGAAATTTAAGGACATGTCCAAATTTCCATCCAATTTGACACGTTCAATTTCCGTTCAATTTCATGACGGAGCAAGCACGTGCCCCTCATGTAGAGAGTTAAATTAGTATGCCATGACGAGATGAGCCACTTCTGCCACCTCTAAATCAAAATATTCTCACTATGATCCCTCTACAAATTGAACGAAATCTCAACCTTGGAGTCTAAATTTTTGAAGAGCTCTTGTGAAATAGGAAGAGATTTAGCCAAGTAGGAAGGTAGATAACACGAGTAGACAGAAATAGTCCTATACGTGAAGAGCACATGCTTACAATATTGGGAGTTGGACGGAAGTTTGGACATGTTCTTAAATTGCGACCTTTATCAAGCTATTTGGGTCAAATTGCCAGACGTGACACCAAAAGGACCCAAGTGGAACATCCGAAAAGCTACAAGGCCTAAAAGGTGACTTTATTGCATAAACACAGCACAGAGGCGCAGACCATCACTCACTCGGCCTCTACTTCCACTCCATCCTCCGCCTACTCTACAACTTCACTTTAAAACTCACCCGAAAAAAAATCGATAGACAAACATCCAAGTCTTCTCTTCCAGACCGCTGCCACCCGCCACATCCACCGACGTCGGCAACAAAGTCCACACACTGCCATCATTCATCCTCTGCGCCTCCATCCTCCTTCATGCTCCATCTTTGTTGGCGTCGTCTCCCTCTTCTCGTCGGCTCTCTCATCCTCACCTCTCTCTCTCTTTCTCTCTATTCAGGCCAATAACGGTGAAGGAGACGACCTTGCCAGCCTCCAACTTTGAGGTGGCTGACTTCAGATTTAGAGGCCAATCTCTCCCTCCCTCCCCATTGCGAGGTCACCTCATCATTTCTCTGTTAGTCTTTTCTCATTTCTTCGAACACACCTCACTCTCAGTTGTTTTCTGAGTTCTATAATTTTTTTATATATTTTTTTTTTCTCTTTTACTTTTGACTTATATGGTTGCTTTGTTCTCTTTTAGGTTTTCAGTTCTCTCTATCTCTCTCAAATCCCAATTTGGGAATTTCAGTTGAGACCCAGATGCTGATTTGAGGTAATTTCTCTCTTGTAGGCACTGTTACTTTACATTTGAATGGTGAATTAGTCATTTTAGCTTGGGAATGAATTGTTTGGGTTTATTGATTAATGGTGCGTTTTTCTTATAAGAATCTATCTGATTTGATTTGGGTTTTGCTTCTGTTATATTGTCAATCACAAAATTGGTGAAGTTGTAAAAGATGTAGCTTGCCCGTTTTTTATTTTATTTTGTATTTTCTTATTCTGTCATAATTTTCTGGTAACCGAACCGATTCCACCCCAATTTATAGAATTGAGGGTTAGGTTCCGTTTCGTTTTTCCCCCCCTTCTCTTCTCTTCATTAACTTAGTCCTACAAGTTCTATGTCAGCCATGGAATTAATCGTTTCTTCCATTAAACAAAAGCTCTATCACCTTCCATTTAAAAAAAAAATGTTCAGTTTGGAGGTTTAGTCGGCCTGAACAAACAATTCTGGCTCCGGTCATGTTTACTTTCAAGTGTCAAAGTAGGTGGGGAAGCAGTGCACAGGTTGTCAACAATGATAGTTAGCACAAAGAATTATCCCTCATATTTTCAAGACACTGCTCCACTAAATAATGCAAATACATCCCACCAGTTGGAACTGCTAATGAAAGTGTTCCACAATTTTCAAACACATTTTGTAACCTGTGCACCGCTTACCTGCCTACTGTGCGAAACAATCGTGTTGCACTTGCATTGTTTTCCTGGGATGAGTCAGGGTCTTAATTGCAAGTTAAGGAATGTGAGTTCTTTTATTTTTCAGTCTAGATATATAATCAATTGAATGAACCATGTCCATTCAATAAGTGTTTTAAATTCTATTTCGAAGAATGTGTTGTACACCAAAGCTTGACCCAGGAGATACCTTGTCATAAGTTTTTGTGTAACGTATTACACATCTAGATTGTCATAGTTGAAAAGAGATCACCACAAGTACAAGACGTTATGCTTCAGTTTTGGATATGATGCCTCTAGTTTTGTTTCTCTCTTCTGCTTCTTCGTGTTTTGGTTCTGTTCTGTTTTTGTTATATTTAAAGTTAGCTTGAGTAATACAAAGAAAATTAATCTTATTACTCGGAATTTTTCGTTTCATGGTTGTCTGATTGTGTGACATGGATCTCAAATTTTCTCACTGAAGTTATTTCACACGTGGTATAATCTTTGCATAGAGCTTGAGCTATAAGAAATTCCTCATCATATATGTTTGGGGTATAGAGTAACTTATTTGACAAAGATTCTTGTTCCTGAAACGGGATCATACTGACTACAAATTTGTACATGGAGCTTGAGCTAGGAAATTTCCAACCATATGTCTGAGAGGTATAGCATAACTTAATTGACATCATAGATTCTTGTTCCTTAAAGGGGATCATCCTGACAACAAGGCCTCCTACTTAAGTTCTTGTGCTGCATTTTTATTTATTCTGCTTTGTAATACTCTTTGTAATGTTTCCTTCTAAAGAATTAAAAAAACCATATGTCATGTTTGAATTTTTT